AGTGGAAAGGCAACGGTGTCAGGTTTTCTGCTGTGACTATCACCCCCCCTTGCGTGTAATGTAGTTTGGAATGTTAATTTATTAACTACACGTACGCGAACAGAAGACATACATTCTAGATTTGAAGCTTTCGTGACTGCAAGGATTCATACTCTTTGGTTTTATTCGGTAAAGTCACGTATATAAAATGTGACTTCACCGAATAAAACCAAAGAGTAATAAGACATACAATATATGTATAAAAATAATTTCCTTTTCATAGAAGGCATCTCAACTGGGGCTCCATGGACATTGACAGAGATGTCGCCATCCTCACTTGCACATCCAAGCCATGCCAGCATGGGGCCTTCATGGATCTGGTAGTTTTTATCTCAGTATATTCAGATTAGCACGGTTGGTTACGTACGGTGCGAAAGAAGTTCAACATACATACGTACATTCCACACAGAGCCAGAACCAAACTGTTATATGCTGGCCTTACAAGACATCTGACTTTGGCTGAGAGCCAAGCAGGGCCAGGCATAGGGGCTAATGATGCATTCGTTGTGTGCGATGTCTTTTTTTTCCCTGTGTGGACAAATCGTCACTGTTTCATCGACACATTAATTGCACGTGACGTCAATGGCAGGGTTCGGTTTCTGCAGTGGAAAAAAACAACCTGCTGCATCCTTTGCCGGGCCAAGGCGTTTCGGCATGGCCTTAGCACGACTCCGCTGTGAAGTGGAGAAGAGGGATATGAGGATAGTATTTGGGAGCCTGTTCATGAAAGGCAGGGCCCTGTGCTGAATAATTTTCATTCCTGCACTCCATTCCACTACCCCAAACTGATCTGTTGAGAAATGGCAAGTATATTTTCAGTGACTCTCATAAAATGTCCATGATACCGACAATACCAAAACAACACTATTCACTGTAATGTCATTTTATGACACGTGGAATTCTCAAAGCTATGTTCTCCAGCAGAGAAGTTTTTATTTATAACCCGGCTGGAGCCAAATGTCACGTAACATTACTTTTGGTAGAGCGGTTTGCATAGCCAGAGATGGTGAAACAAGTTAGGGTCTTCATGGTCAAATGATCATATGGTGGTGTTCTGATACACATTAGTGATTCTGAATGTGATGGGTCGTTCGGTAAAGCAACGCAAGCGGTCGTCATCAGGACGACCGCTTGTGTTGCGATCGAAACGTCGTAGTCTTTTGTTATTTTTGTTATTTCTTTTAACCTATCTAAGTGACTTTACCGAAAGACCCAAGGAATATGAATTCCTGCAGTCACGAAAGCTTTAAGACAGGACATCCACTGTTATTCATCCATTTTATATCCACAGCTGGATGCAGCCTTCCCCAAGGCCAACGCCACCCCTCGCGATCCTGAAATTCCACGTTCTCATCTCACTTCTGACCATTGCATTGACCTCATTGCTCCCAACTCTACAGTAGTTCTCTTCTCCGGTGTGCTCTCTTGTTATTGATGCCATTCCATCACCAGGCTTGTCCATAGGCCAACATCCCTTTCGTGATGTGCCATACCCCCATGCCAAGTTATGTACTTTAATCGACGTCTCTCGTTCGTTTTTCTTCCATTACCTTTGCCGTTCTCTATGTTTCTGATCGATGCTGACGCTGCGGGATACATGCATTTAAATGATTCAAAACTGTCGTCTTGTTATTCTGCTGCTTTTCAGTGACAAATTCGGTGTTTGAAAAGCACTCCATCGTGCTTTTGATCGCTACGCAGCAATACTAGTTCTGCTGTCCTTTGTATGGGATAATGGGGATGAGTTGGCCATCGGTGAAAGTTGAACTCATGACCTTAACAAAACCACACGCAGTTATTCTACTGATGAATTTTCCCAGCTGCTAAACAAAGAACGGTCCTTTTTTAAAAATATAAATACATGTGATTTAGTCGTGAGTTATTCCAACTTTGGATTTAAGCCACGATACAAGTACACAAAAAGGTCTTCTCTTGGGAATTATGTCACAAGGTCTTTAATGTGCGCTTTGAAGGTAATCCGCTGCAGCATTACTGGGCACACACAGGAGTCCTATGCCTGAATGCTGGCAGGCATATTACCCCTTGCACCATTGGGCTTCACCCACGGAGTCAACGTCACAGAGTTGTATTGAGGGTACGAGCAAAGTCGGCAACATCCCTCATCACTACAATAAGTGAAAGCACAATCAGCCCTTGTGTCGACTCACTGAAGGCATCTGAATGTGGTGTCATTTTTTTTGGGGGGGGGTGGGGTTGTTTGACCATACTTCACCGCGACGGTCACTGCTCATTAGTTAAGTGGTCGCCGAGAACTGGTTCGCGTGACACGTCACTCGCCGCTGACATTTGTCGTCTGTTGCCCAGGTAGAGAACTCAGGTCGCCGGGTTTAGAGAGCAGTGCGCTAACATCTGTGCCACCACTCCAACAACTACTTCCACAGAGCCTTCCATAACCACGAACATTGTGCGGAAGTTGGAACCCTGCCCACACAGTGCCTCGTTGCACTTGAAAGAATTATACGCAAAGCGGTCAGGTTCGTTGATCATCCAGAACTCAGCGATTCACCCCAGTCAGTCACTCAAAGGTGCTCAGTTGCCTCCTAATAACTCTTCTATCACTACTACCAGAGTTACCATTCTCGTGAACTTCCCTCATTGATTCTGCCACTGGTTCGTCTCATCCACACTCTGTTCCACCACCGCGCTACAGCTCCCAGCACTTTGCTTGCCGCTTTTTCCCCCTCACACTGTTTCACATCGGAATTCCCTCCCTTCATTTGTTTTCCAAAGTTCTTAGGCAATGAACTCAAGTTGCAGGTTCGAAGCACAGTGTGCAAACCGGTGTGCTATCTCTCCACCCCCGGATTGCTGTGCTATGTATTATGTATGTTGAACTTCTTTCGCACCATACGTAGACAATTGTGCTAATAGGAGGTGAATGCAAGCCGTGCTATACCTTCTGAATTGGAAATCTGCAATGTGGAATAAATCATCGTCACCCATGGTCAATCCACTGGTGGATGAAGGGCTCGTATTCGTTAGCACAGTATGATGACCACGCTGGCACCTTCTCCAATTAAAGTTCAGACAGAGTGTCCGGTTGTGATGGGGAAAACCGTCAAGAGACATTGCGGATTGGCTAACAGCTCACCCGTAGCGGAATGCTACAGGTGAGCTGTTAGCCTATATATATATGTCCCCAATGGTGAACTGAGAGATTACCACATTTAACGATGGGTGTACCCTTCTGAACGGAAAAGCCTGATAATATGCGCAGTTTGACAAATCGATTTATCAATTTAACTGTTTACAAACGCTCATTTCAAAACGCGGGTGTGCTGACATTTCAAAAGTGACAGCGTTCGTCTCTCAGGGGGGGATCCTTTTTGCGACTAAATCATTCCAATGCAGGCCAAAGTGGCTCCTTATGAGCTGTAACAAAAACGCTCATTACAACTTCAGGCCTAATAGCCACAGGGGCTACCCTCGACGAACATTGGCACAGTTGACCGTGGTTGACATGAACGCACGCACGCAGGATATGCTCGTGCTAAACTTTCTTTAATGTGTGTGTTTTTTAATATATCCTGGATGTTTTTCCCCCCTTCGGCATGGCAGAGTTGGACGCGCGCTAAACAAAGACTCCCCTTTTTTTTTACACTGATCGCCGTGAATCCATCTTGAACCCCCTTGAATTCCAAGCCAGTTTGGAGTTAGACCGATGTATGAAAAAAAAACGCATAAAGAATGGAGCAGTGTAAAATCATAATCCGGTAAAATTATGGGCACTAATTACATTGCTCGAGACATGACCCATCTGTGTGTAGTTTTCCCTGAGCTGAGACTTGCCTGAGCATTCAACTCGCTGTGGCAGTCTGCTTGGCACAGTCAAATTCATCTTTTTCCCCTTCATCGTACTGAACAGTGGAATAATTCTGTTTTTTTACAACGGCGTTTAGTACGGATGAGAATTATCTTGCTCCATCGCTTGTGAAGAATTAAAATGTACTACACGCGTAATCTGGTATGAATTCACCCGTGAATGGGTCCCTTTGTGTGTGAAAAATGTGGTGTTAACTTGCGTATAATACAACTTTTGTACTGCGCTCACCGAAATGCAAGTCTGAGATAAACAACGGTCGTATAAATCGCCATGTAACGCCTATTTAAACGACACCGTGTGTTTTTTTTATATATATCTTGCGATGGATTTATCGGCGCACGCTGCATACTGCGGATACTTGACCTGGACTTGAGTCAGAAATGTGTTCACTCGCCTTCTCTCTACCATCAAACCGCACTAATGGACTAATCACCTGTTGGGCATACAAGGAGGGTAATTGTGCCAACGTTATACCCCGGGAAGGGAAATGTAATGGGAACTGCAGTAAGGAATGTTCCATTATTGTGGGTCTGGATAATTTGGTAAAGAAAAACCACCGGTCGTAATGGCCTCATCTCGCAAACACGGCTTCCTGAGATCTTTAACGACTTATCCGTTCCCAACAAAAGACACTACTTTATATTCAATGTGCAGTATGCCTGGCGGGATTTGCTTTCACACACACACACAAACCAGTTCTTTTTTCCTTCAGCCACATGCCCAATGGCTCGTTTGATCCACGAACAATGACACAAGGAAAACAGCCGCTCACCGCGAATGCTCCACGACAGTGAAGCTCTCCCCTTCGCGCTCCTCCTGTCCCCAACTCAAAAATTCGCGGTGGCCCCCCTCCCCCGTCACTCCACTCCAACGCCCTAAAATTCCCGGAAAATTTCTCAAATCGCGTTTTTACCACAGAGGAGATGTTTCTTTCGCGTCGCATCGTACCATCACAGATTTTTGTTTCAAGGGTTTCGGCGAACGGCGTTTTGGAACATCAACTGCGGACTCGAGGAGTTGCGATGCGCATTGAAAAAAAAAACAATCTCTCGATCGGACACGAGTCCAGGAGATGATGGAAGGGGGGGAGAATTAAAATAAAAAAACTCAAACTCACGTCCTGGTTGCTCATGTCCCAGTAGGGCCGCTCGCCGTAGGACATCACCTCCCACATGACGATGCCGTAGCTCCACACGTCGCTCGCCGACGTGAACTTGCGGTAGGCGATCGCCTCTGGGGCAGTCCAGCGCACTGGGATCCTCCCTCCCTGCTAGCAGCAGCAGCAGAAAACGGAACGCGACGTTCACACAACCTTATCAACCTTGTCGACGACGATAGAACCGTGACCTAGGGAAATCTGCCCCCCGAGCATATCATTTCCTGTTATTCTATTACTTTTGTTTTTAATTACAGGGTTCCACCACGTTTTCACAGTAGAGGGAGATTTTTGCTGCGCTGTGTAAAGGAAATTGAGTCATTTGCAGATAATGTGTCCGGAGGAAACCCATGCAGAACAGGTGGGAGAATATACAAAAACATTCTACATCGAAAAGGCACCCGAGTCAGGAATCGAACCCAGGTCCTTCTTGCTGAGGCACACGTGTTACCACTGGCGCAGAGGTTAGTGCACCGCGCTCTAAACGGTGACCAGTTCAATACCTGGTCAAAGATAACGTCAGAGCTGGTCCTTCACCAAGATGAAAATATCAGCAAGGGATTGACAGGGGCCTTCAAACTTTAAACGTGAAATCACCAGGAGCACCCGTCTGTTAAAAATTACAGGTATTTTATGGGAACGTGTTTCAAAATGTAATCAAGACATTTCAAGTGAACTCTTCATATGCTGCAGACCGTTGCCACACTTCTATCATGGGAAATTAAACATAAAGTGCCTCTGTAGGACTCTCTTCAGTTGTCCGTGCAGTTGAATTAAACTTTGTCGTCTCAACCTAAGTTTAAAGCCAGAATTGGGCTTCATCCTCCCTAGGCTTTACCACGCGTTTAATCTGGCATTTAGTACTTAATTAATTTTCAACGTAAACCGTGTGTTTAGTGTGTACTTGAGTGTTATGTGCAAAAGAAACGTGGTTAGAACTGATCAGCAGCTGCTACTGGTTGTCAAACTTTACCATTTAGAAGGCCCATCGCTCAAAGACCATATTTTTGGGGGGTTATATGTGTTTGTGCACCACTGCCAAGGTCAGTATCACTTGTTCTTTGGCATGTGCAGTACTCTATGGATTGTAAGACAATGTCCCCCTTATTTGCAAACACAAGTTGGCAGTGCGTCTTGTAATCTAGTAGGCGTATGTTACCAGATTAGTATAACTTTATCGACACTAGGAAAAGTGTTTGGATTTCATCTTACTCTCATAAGTGTCTTACAATAAAGATGTTGATTAGAGAATGTCTTTTTACATTAGGGGCCGTCCATAAATGACGTCACGCGATTTTGGACGATTTTTGCCCCCCCCCTCCCCTCGTCACACGACGTCACAAAAAGGCAGACCCCCCTCATATATGACGTCACAAAGCTCTGCTCCCCCCCCCCCCCCACAAATATATAACATGCTTCAAATCGCTTTAAACTATTGTAATTGTATTGCGTTTTTAATGTGGTGCTGCACTCTGATGTTGTAGGAGAAAACATTTACTAAAAAGTATATTTAATTAAATAGAACGTGTTGTCTATATTTATTTAAAGTTGCTCATTTTGATGTGACGTCACATTTCTAAAACCTCCCCCCCCTCGTCACACATCGTCACAAATGTCTGACCCCCCACCCCCCCTCCCCTAGGTGCGTGACCTCATTTATGGACGGCCCCTTATAACTTTCAGCGATTTTTCAATCCACTGCTGGATGAAGGCCTACCCCTACACTGTGTTGGTCATGGGGCATGTCTGCTTTATACTTAACCACGATGGTCAGCGTGGGCCGGTGATGGGGGTGACAAAGGTCAGCTCGGACACCACCTGCCACTGATGGGCTGCCGTTTTGCAGCACCGTGGCCAGGAACTCAACTTAAGTGCCACCGTTCCATTCCAACAAGTGTGGTCAAACAACCCCCAACACAGTGTTTGGAGAGGTCTTCATCCATCAGTGGAACTTGTCCCGCCACCCCCATCTTAAACTAGCACTGCCCTCGTATTTGCGTGAGATCCATGGGCGGAGGTGGAGGATGGGTGGGGGAGCGGGGCGGGGTGTAGGTAGGTGTGACGTCATCGCGACGCACGGACGCGGCTCAACACTATTGGATGGCAGGTGACGTCACAGCGCATCGATCTGCCCGCGCGCCAGCCAGCAAAAACTTAAACCAAAAAAATATTGCGTGAAAAGTTATACATTTTTATGGATTATGCTATGTTTGCAGACGTCAGGAGAAATCCAGAGTAAAGCCTGAAAACTCTCACGATGCATATCAAATATGACCACTCGCACATTAAGCGTATTGCCAAGTGAGAATCATAACCGTATGAAAATGTTTCCCACACCTAACAGCACAACTTAATGTCACATTTTCTAACAAACGTGTGTGGGACTGCATTGTTTAAAGCGTACATACAAATGCCTTTTTATATCAGCCCACGCATGAGTTTAATTATAAAAAAAAAATCTGGAATATCACAATCTGTACCAGACAGGGTCTCTCCTGATGACATCACTGAGATAAATGAAAATCGCTTTGTGATGCACCAAAATGACCTGAAATTATCACTCTCGAATCTGAGCTCTGAGCCAACGATTTTGAATGAACGGCCTTATGATGCCACAATAGCAGGGATCAAACGAAAACGTCTACACTTTATTATGGGTGGAATAAAAAACTCTTCAAAGGAATACCATGTTGAACAAGATCGTCTTATGCAAATCAAACGCGCATTCTTGGGGAAGTGGTTGGCGTTGTGGTTAGCATACTGCGGTATATACACCAGGTGACGTGAGTTCAATTGTAAGGCCGTGGCGGACCCGTCCTTGGCGAACGGCATCGTGATGTCTGAACTGATTGTGTGCAACCTCTTCACCAACCCGCATGGAACAACGGTGGTGAAGTATGGTCAGACAGCCACCGTGTCTGACGCAACGTGGAGTGAATTGATGAAGGGACTGAAAATGATTGTATGTTTTTTTTTATTACCCACTATCAAACTAATACATTTATAAAATATATTTTTCACTCACACTAATTTTTTTTCAAATGACCCATATTAGACCAAAACAATTTCGAATATATTTTCTCCTCATGAAACGCATTTTCTCCTTGTCGAGTAGTTTATCCCAACTGCTGAATGATAAATTGACCATTAAAAGGCTGATTCTCCTGGGAATGAAATAAATGGACGAAAGTTTTTTTAGAAAATTCCTCTTAAAACAAACACACTACAGAGCTTGCGCTCCACGTTTAAAATCTTTAAAAGTTCTTCAGTGCCTGCTGGTCATGCAAAAAAAAGCCTATTAAAACATTTGCAACATAAACACATTCCATGCTTTGCATTTAACAAAAAAAACAGTTTAGACTGTGTGTGTGAACTTGGCCAACATTACTCATAGGGTTTCCACCTCTGAGGTACAAATAAACGGGACACATCATAGGGAAAAATATCTCAGTATCAGAAGATGAGAAAACCACATGCAGATGAGTTCTGTATTTTCAGTGCTGTATGACTATATTCTCCATGTTATAGGATGCTCTGGAAAATAAGACACCCTGAAACTGGATCATAAAATCAAACCCCGACGTTTTCTTTTTTTAAATATATGGAGAAAATAAAGTCCATCATTATTCGGAGAACATGGGATTACGCAATTGACAAAAACGGAGATTTTTTAATGTCCCTGGAAGAATCTAGATTTGAAGTTTTCGTGACTGCAGGGATCCACATACTCTTTGGTTCTTTCGGTAAAGTCACGTAGTAGGTATAAACTAAAATAAAATAAATCACGACGTTTCGGGCGCAAGACAAGCGTCCATCATCAGGTGGGACAACCACAGCAAGAAACAACTTCAGCAGTTGTTTCTTCAGCAGTTGCTTCTTGCTGTGGTTGTCCCACCTGATGACGGACGCTTGTGTTGCGCCCGAAACGTCGTGATTTAATTTATTTCATAGCCACGTGACTTTACCGAAAGAACCAAAGAGTATGGGTTCCTGGAAGAGTTAAAGATCTTCCCAAGGCACATCTGCCTCAATAAGAGGACGTTCAAATAATAATAATGTGTTACACTTTGTATGTATGCCATTCCTATAGCAAGGCAGTCACAAAGGCTCAATGTTTTGCAGGCATCGTCTGCGGGATTTTTACGGTCAGGGACAATGTTGCTATAATATTTTTCTTTTCACCAAATTGGGTCACACGAGGAATAAAAAAAAAAAAATCGTGACGAAGTCGGATCGTGCCGCCGGCACACGCAATGACCTCCTTCCCTTTGTCAAATTCGGTCACGGGATCTCCAACTTCCGCCGCCAAGCAGACGCCGCAGCGTTAACCAGGGGGCGGCCGCTGGGCTCGAACCGCACATCTACGCAACGAGGGGCAAAAAAGGCGCTGCCGCCGAGCCTGGGGCAGCTGGCAACCCCAGGGACTCGGTGTCGGGTGTTTCCTGCCGGCTTTGCTTTGCGCACCACCTTGGCGGTGTACGCGGCCTCGGGGTCGTCCTCCAGCACCCGCGACAGCCCGAAGTCGGACACCTTGCACACCAGGTTGCTGTTGACCAGGATGTTGCGAGCGGCCAGGTCGCGGTGCACGTAGTTCATGTCGGACAGGTACTTCATGCCGGCCGCGATGCCGCGCAGCATCCCCACCAGCTGGATCGACGTGAACTGCCCGTCGTTCTTCTGCAAAGCGGGTTAAACAAAAGTAAAAATGGTCAGGAACGGTTAAAAAAACAATAATATATAACGCCCCTTATTCAACCGGCATATTTGAGCAGAGCTGATATGGAGGCCTCATGGTGCAGGTTCGTCGTTTTCTACTCGCTCATTGCCAAGCTGAGCCAGAGCTAAACCGTGATGAGTTGGCCTTGCAAGACATTTGAATATGACTCCGGGCGAAGCAGGTGCAGGAATTGGGTGTATGTATGTATATATGTTGAACTTCTTTAACACCGTACGTAGCAAACCCTGCTAATCAGAGGTGCCGGGGAAGGACAACAAACTAAAGACAAAAGGCAATGACACATTCATTGCGTGCGACGTCAAGTCAAGACGGCACGAGGACACAGCATCACGGCGTCGTCTGCGTTTGCGTCCTGACTCGTTCAATGCATGTTACATCAGTAGGACGACTCGGCTTCTGCGGTGGAAACACGAACTTGTGCTCCCGTGCCATGCCGGCCTAGTTGAGGCCATGTACAGCAGATTCTACAAACAACTGGAGATATCCATATGAGGGGTAATAGCTGTAAAACACAGCAGAATGTGTATACCTTGGGCAGCTATTAAAATTGGACCAGAATCAAAATGATAAAGAGGTGGAACACAGCATAGGATGGAGTATTATTGGAAACCTGGGACTTGATAATGAAAAGTAAACATACTGATGTGCTGAAAATAACTTTTTTTACATCAGTGTCTATGACCTACCCACTGTGACATATTTACTTCAATATCACAATATCGAGGATGTTTAGCAGCGGATTTAATGCAAGAGTGGGAAATTGAAGAAAACATAAATTGGAAATTGCACAAAAATGTTTTCTACACCATCTTATTATGTATGGCCTGTCTGTGTCTGAAATGTGGTACTATTGCATAAAAAAACACAATCCGTAAAACTGTCCACAAAAGCAAGGGCTCAATTCTATATTTTTTATCGCTACGTTATTGACAAAGGTGAAACATTGTTGCCACTAGTAACAACTTGCAGCAACTTATAAAAAACCAGTCCGCTTGAGCTGACACATTTCTCATTTTCTAATATTGTCCTTGGCTGGGGCAGTTTCTGCAAAATTATAGGAGAATAAAACATTAATAATAAAAAAAAAATTGCGTGCGTTTGCGGTAAATTGTAAAAGGGCCATTCAGCGCGCAAATGCTTTTTTGCTGATGTCGTTTAAAAAAAATATCCATTTGGTGCGTCCGTAGCTGATGAGTGGGTGTAATAATGCTGCCGTGACAGACTAATTGCTTAAATTGTTGCTCCTTTTCAACCTGTCTCATTTAATTGTAAATCCACGTCAGTGTTTATACCCGCGGTTTTGCCCGCGTCATTTCTCAGTTTGCTGAACAAGGCACCGAACAAAAAAACACTCACTCCGGTTCATTTTCATTGCAAGTTCATTTTCCCTGTTCTTGTTTTCTTCATTGTAAAAGCTTGCATGACGATTAGTAATACTCGATTGCAATGTTACCGCCATGTTATGAAATCTTTATTGGAGGGGCAGCGGGCGGTTGGCGCAGCCCATCACCCCTCTGGCGTCGATGTAATGAGTACCACTTTGTGGGGAAATCAGCAGCGGTTGGCCTACGGTTCCACTCGTCCCCTGCCATAGGAACGTGGAATTCCCACCACTGTCTCACAGAACTGTAAGCAGGTGGTGTGCACCGCCTCAATGATCGTTCGAGCAGCAAATCACTTGTTTGACTCCTTGTTACCACTCTATCAAGACAGTATCAGCAAGAGCTGGCCTACGATATGCCCATTGGCAATTACTAACACATGTTTACAGCCTTAATTACAGACGTATTGGGCATGGTGGTTGTTTAACCGTACGTGGCCGCGCTCGTCAATGCGGGTTGGCGAGGGGAAGGATACTCGGGCACCGTTTGGATATCACTCGCCACTGATGTTGGTAGTTGCTGGGAATCAACCTCAGGTTGTTGGGTGCAGAGCAGAGTCTGCCTCGCACCGTGCCATCGTTCTCCGCATTGGCAATTAAATGAGCCGACATTGTTTTTCGTATTGTTATTATTCACGTATTAATATCCTTTTAAGAATATTTACAAATTTATACTATTGGCCAACATATATTCTGACTGAATATAAAAGTTTAATGAGCATCGCAAACGCGTATTGCAATGCAACATAATCCATTTAACAAGGAGGAATATTATTACAGTCTTCACAAAAATCCAAAAACTTGTGGAAAAAAAAGACAACATGTACACACTTGGGAACATGCAACGAGATTAGGAAGGACGCAAAATGGACTGTCAAGGCTTATGCAACCCATTAAAAGATATAACCTTGGACATGCATTAATAGCCCAGAAAGGGTGATAATATAATGAATAACGCAGTAAACAAAAACATTTAGACGCAGGGAAATATGATTCTTTCACTGCTGAATAAAGTCCTCCACAATTTGTTTCCATCTCTCATGAGTCTGCAATCCACCTGCATGTCGCCCCCATCTATTAAAACTGAAACTATATATATATTTTTTATTTTACCAGGTAAGGCCCACTGAGATATATAGCTCTCTTTTTCAGAAGCGACCTGGCCACAAATGATAGCTCACCAAAGTGGCTTATCACGTGGAAATGTATATCGACCAAATACTGTAAATCCATGTTGATTCTAAATGTGGAGGGAAAAACCAGAGGACCCGGAGAAAAATCCACGCGACCACGGGGAGAGAGACACGCAAACTCCAAATATACAACAGGCATCAGGGTCGTGATCGAACTCACAACCTCCTGCATACCAGGCGAGGTTGCTAAAATATCGTTATTGTGGCACCCTCAGTGGATGTCCCATCGGACGTGCACCATTCCTTGGCTGCCACTCCATCACTATTCTTGACCATCGGTTGTCGTCCCTTCTCAGCAACGTGGTCTGTCCTAACCTACTTACTTTTCTCAACACTTTGAACTTTAGTCTTTAACCTGCCTATGTTCTCCAATCGACGTGCTCCTCTCTCTGTCTCTCAATGTACTTCCAAGCCTGTTCAGTCGGCCAGTAATATTATATTCGACCAGTTGAGAGCCAATTGAGACTACACGTTCACTTTCAGAGCGAGATCTTGGATATGAAGACGACTAGAAGAGCAGATACACATTGAATATTGTTTGGTTGTAGTGGTAGAATCTTAAAATCCATAAGCTTAAAGGCAGGGTAGTCTATCACAGATGGATCAATTAATGTGCCAACCTGCAGGGCATTGAAGTACCTATAGGAGACAGTAGAATTAGTATGATTTTAAACCGATCTACGTGGAGTTTTGAGTGTTCTTCAACCAATTTCAATACATTTCCTAGATATGCAGGCTCACCGGTGTTTTCCAAGACAGAAAGATAGTCCGAAAATTTAGCAAAATTTAAAAGCAAGACATCTGAAAAGTATTTTTTAATTAATTAATACTTTCCTTAGTAAATGAAGAAATTAGTTGTGCTTGTTTCTAAAATCTCCCCGGTGTCTCTTAACGCAGCAGTATAATGGGTGAACCACAGTCGATCAGGAGGTCACGTGTGGTGTGCCAAAGTGCGGCTACTCCCCATCTCTTCCGAGCAGTCTGGCCGGCATGGAAGATTAGGCCAAAATACATTATCGAGTGGCTCTTTTTAAAGCTACCTCTAGCGGAGGCCCCTCTTCCACCAGCGGTGGTGGGCAGCAAGCAACTGCAGGCCTGCACCTTTACCCTTTCATGGTTGTACTGAGAGTAAATTAACGTCGCCAAACATGAAGAGGCCTTCAATCGCCAATGAAATTGTGGCTGATGGGCCGATATTCGCTACATTACACACAGGCTTTAGAACATTAAAGCATAGCCGATAGGTTTAGGCGAATGCAAAGATAATCTTAACGCCCCGTTTCTTGTAATATTCACACAATTAACGTCACAAATAACATCGTATTAAAGGTCTGCATTAAGCGAATGCATTTTAACCACGAAGCAATTTTTTTTGTATCGACAATAACAAAAATTAAATTATTCATTACTTCCGAACGCACTTACCCTTAGGAAGGAGTCCAGAGAGCCATTCTCCATATATTCCGTAACAATCATGACTGGTATACCTGTAGGGCACACATTGCAATCAGTGAATTTCATTACCGAATGCATCCACGCATACCTAACCACCTAAATACTACAGCACTCACAACTGTCCCACCGGCAAGCTTACCATTACTGCGTAAAAGTTTGGCTTTGTGTCCGAAGCCTCCTCCTGAACATTGTCGCTGAAGCAATATTTTCTAATAGGCTTCTATTTTCAGCCAGGGCTCTTCCTCCCCTCAGGTCAACTCGGCATGAAATTAGCAGCTGGCTGTTATATGTCAGAGCTTAGTTGGAGTGTAGCATGGGAAAGGGCTGAATGCAGTCAACCGTGGAGCTAGTCACGCACATCTAGCTTCAATCAAGTGCTCGCTAATAATTCCTTCTCAGCTCGCAAATCACTTTTCCGGGGTAGGCAAAATTCTGCTGCTACTACCACGGCCCCTGCTGCTGTTGCTGCTGGTGCCATGACCAAAACTTACCCCTTCCAGAAACATCGTGTGCATGTTTCCGTATCAATCCGTCACTTCCGATAACATACACTCGGGATGAGGTTTGTACGTAAAGGACAAAGTGGAATTATTTTTGTTTTAGGATAATTTTTATGTTTTACGTGCCTTTTGCCAGATAACGCCACGTTTGGTGGGGAAATGGAAATGTGGCATCGCATCAAGTGACGTGACATTATGTGATGTGACATCGTTGGGTCAATCCGAAACATAAAAAAGAATCGGGATCTTCCAAACGTTCGTGTTTGGGCCTATGTTTCGCATTTTTTTGGATTAATATGATAATTGGGAACGTCCCTAATATATACGTTGTTACGGACAGCTTGAATGTTGTGTTTTCCTTAGGTGATGCACTGATGAGGAACATACTGCTGATGTAACCAGGAACGCGATGAGGAGAGCCAAGGTTAATTACCGCAGAGATAATTTCGTGTGACTATCGGTCACCTTTCACCGAATCTAATAATGCTTAGAAATATTCAAACAGACCCATGTACACAAATTATGCAGAGTAAATAGGCTGAATTATTTACATTCCATGTGATCATAGAGGATGATACTGTTGCTTGCTATAAGGTGAACGCGCAGCCCTGCAATTCCACACGCCAGAATCCGAATATTTAATTATACTGGACGAATCCGATGAGCCACAAAGTAATTTTTTTTCCCACAGGCCCTTTCGCCACTGCTGGTAGAAAGGGCCTCCACTAGAAGCATGTATGTTTTCTTAGGCCTTCTCTTCCATGCTGTCCAGGCGTCTCGGAAGAGGTGAGAGAATACCCACACTTTACCCCACCATAAGGGGACCCGGCAATCGACTCGTTGTGCTGCATCCATTTATACAGCTCGGTCGACAGAGGGCAGGGAGATTTAAGAAAGCTTGCCCCCATTGTTTGAGCCCCATACATTCCAAACGCGCTCACCATTACACTCTGACTGCATTGTTAACACCCAGCATAATGAACTTGTTTTCATTTTTGGCTGAAAGGCCAGAGCCATTGCTCCAAACAATACGATTTCAATCCCGATTCTGTAATAACTCATTTGCAGCAAACATCCCTTGTGCATTAGTAATGTAAAGGGTCGTAATTTTAATAAGTAATCTTAGCATCTGGAATGTGATACAGACTCTCTTGCTGCTAATTAACTCGTGTTTTGTGATAAAAAAAATCCCTCCCCCAATGCTTCACAGACACCGGGCAGCTGTGGCAATCAAACAGCCGGAATTCTGAAGACTGCCTTCATGGCTCAGTGTCTAATGCATGGACGACCACCAGAAGGTGTGGGGACGTGAACCAGAGATAGCGGGGGGTAACACACACACAGCACACGAGCAAGTCCTACAAGGATGCAATGTCACGCACACGCAGACACAGAGATGGGTACTACCGCAAGACAAACACAGAGGTCGCCCGGATAGCCTCAACAGACTGCTGGGACAAGTTCGCGTAGAGAGCACCTATCAAGGCCACAACCGCACACGAGGAGGTGGTGTAGTCAGTGTTATGCCCAGCTGCCTTTGTCTCCCCACTGCGGGTGTTTACACAACATGCTAGGTACCCCTGTACGGTCGAGTCAACTTGGGGGAAGTCCAGGGTAGGTTTTCACACTGGTGTCAGTCAAGGTTGGGACTTGTGCGGTGTGCTAGTCACTTGCACCGCCGCTCCATGCCACGTAAACACGTGCTTACATGAACCCACACAGCAACGCATAACAAAACAACAAAGATCCCCTGTATGTGCCTTAACAAATTGTTGGGGCAAGTGCTGTTAGCGAGCACCTGTGAAAGGCCGGCACGCCAGATGAAGGGGTGGGTGGCCAGCACCACGTCCAGCTGCTATCGTTTCCCAAGTGGCGATGTTTACACATCGCACGAGGTACTCATTTGAGGCCGAGTGGACCTTGGGGAGACCCCAGACTGGTTCAGATAATCGTCACAGGCGTTGGCCGTGAGTGGGTATCGAACTCATACATTGGCCCTTCGCTCACACACCAACGCATAGGGTGGCTGCAGTAAGGTACCTCTTGCTGAAGTCCCTTAAAAAAAAAACAGGTCCTTTCACCTGAAAATATGAAAAATAACGGGATCACTATATAAAATTCTTAGCTTCTTCTCACCATTACGTCAATACTCGTATGTGCGCACACATTAGCTCACTTATTTTCATCAAACCCCCACTCGTGAATCATTTTTTCTAGTTTACACCCTGTGATTATATTGATTGTAATAATGGGGCTTCATTGCATCGCTGGGCTCGCGCGGCCGCGTGGGCATCGTGGGTGGTGAATCAGTATTCAAGGGGCGATGTCACCTTTGCAAAGGTGAGAACAAAGTCGGGGGTTGCTGCGATGTGGCGACGCCACGATATATACCCGTACGATGCAAGAGCCGCGGCAATCGCATCGGTTATTTTGTTTGCAAAAAATATCGTTTTCTCGTAGTTCGCTGAATGTGTGTTGTGTGCAAATGGCAGCACGTGCATTACGAGCGTGTTGTGGATTCTAAGGTTGCAATGACTGGAAGGCTTCGAATTTGAAGACTTCTTGTTGCCAGAAAATGCAGCTCAAGAACTTCTAATTATTCTTGACTTGCAGTGGCTCTACAGGAAAAAAACTAAGGCAATACAATAATAAAAATAATGCAACATACAAATGCAGAGTTATTTGAAAATGCTGTTGCGATAATTGCGACACCGCAAAAGTCAATACGTTATCTCGTCATGAACACTGATTTCACGCGGCCTTAGAACAAAGCATAGCTTTCTCTTTTCTACCTCTTTATCTTATTCCCCCTCTTGCCACCTGTTGATGCACGTGTTCATGCCGGCCAGTCCCGACGTCGTGTACTCTCGCTCTGTGCTTGGCGCGTTAACCAAAAGAACAAAGTGCACCACTCACTCTTGGTGATGACCCCCTCCAGCCTGATGATGTTGGGGTGATCGAACTGGCCCATGATGCTCGCCTCGCACAGGAAGTCTCTGCGCTGCTCCTCCGTGTAGCCGGCCTTCAGCGTCTTGATGGCCACGGAGGCCTCTCCCTTCCCAGGCAGCCTCAGCCGACCTCGACACACCTCGCCAAACTCGCCTGCCAATTGCAAGCGCACGTGTCAAAATCCTCGCCCCGGTTGGTAAGTATCGTACACGTTTTTTCTGTCTCCGTCTCGCATGGCAAATTTCCGTGGTAATGGAATTACGGCTTTGGACGTGAGACGGATCCTCCCGCGGCGTGACGGTTAGCTCACCGGACTTGCAATCCGGACGTCGCAGGTTCAATTTGATCTCACGGCGGAGCCGTTAAAAGCAAAGTGCAAGTTTCCTAGCTCTCTCCCTGTGTCTATCCCCCCAACAATGTAAATAGGTACACCACGCAGTCGTACGATTGGCATGCCGCACGTAGTGGCGCAAAGTGTGGGGGCTCCCACCTCTTCCAAGATGTCTGGCTGTGTAAAAGCGTAGGTCCAATGTCCTCTAAAGGAAGTCTCCAGAGCCTCCTCTAGTGGAGGCCCTTGTGCCAGCATTGACAAGCAATTGCAGGGCTGCACTTTTACCTTTTTACATACGCGGGCCGTTAAAGGTTAACACGCGCTCTTTTCCTTCTCGATAATTCACGAAAGAAATGACCGATCGCTGCTAAAACAGTTGGTGGGGTGGCATTGACAACATTTGTTTGGCAACTTCTGTGCCGGTTTAGCTCACAGCTGTGTAAAGATATCTAGGTATTTTCTGGATGGTGGGGAAATGTGCAACTTCATTACCGCGTTGCATAGATTAAGTTTCCCCGTGAAGGATAATATACACGCCGTCCGCTTCTCAGTGGACGTCAGAGATCCCATGAAATTATTTCTAGACAAGAGTAGGCCTTCGTGTGCTGGCTTTACTGGCCGAAATTTTCCAAATTATGGAAAATGTACTCAATTGGGAAAACCGATATCAAAATTGGCCCCTCCTGCGAAACTTAGCGGGACCTTGCCTAAAATGAGGCTTAAGAAGCAAGTGAGGCTTTCCTGCCAACATCAATGCAATACATTTGATAAATACATATGGAAGACCTGTAATGTGTGGAAGTAAAAATACGGTTACACTTATGTGTAACAATGCCAAATGAAATGCGTCGAAATTAAAGTGCCATTACGAGAGATTTCGTCAATTTATGGAAACTGTTTCCCACCCCGTTGTAGAACTTTAACAATGTATAATAAATTAAAATTTACAATGCGACTGTTGTCGCTTTTCTGCTGTTCATTAAAATTAGTCAATTTGTCAAAATGAAGCAAAATTTAATTCCAGCACCACGTAAAATGCTTGCTCGGGCCCTGTAAATGTTTAATTGGGCACTTGTTTGTGTTGAGAGATGATTTGAAGCATTCCTTGATGAAAAACAATTCTAACTTTAAAAGCAAATTATTCTTGCCTACGATGTGAATGCAGTAGCGCTGTGACTATTCCCCGTACAAATGCTGATTTATTTTCCACTTATTCAAGTAAAATATTTCTTAATGATCACAAGCAATTCATCCCTTAAATGCACGTTGCAATGCAGGGCCACTGATTTGCTTTTTTGTTGGATAAGGGAAGGATTTTACAAGTCGGTTCTTAAGTGGGCTTATAAAGTTAATGGATGCCACGTAATAGGAAGCAACGGTATGCTGGTGCTGAATTGATGTACGTGTTTATATATGGGGGCTTGTAAGATGTGCACGGTTACGTGGGTGAGCTCGACTCTTACAAATATGATCAAATATTGAACAATGCAGTCTCGCTTGAATACAAATGACCATTGACAGGCCAGAGGACCGCAACATCAGTTTGTTGCCTTCAGACCTTTGAGAAATAAAAAATTGTTGTGAAACTGCACCGCATGGTCTAACGTCATGATTTCACCAGTAAATATGTAATGTTGGGCCAATGTTGGGACCGTTGGGCCAACCACATCCCAACGTTAACCCAACGTTGCGCGTTCACTGGGGGTAGTCTTCTGACGTGCTTTCGGGATGTGCACCGCGTGACGTCTGTCCAAGGTTTCGCTCCACACGCTAGGAGCTTTGTTCTGGAACCGAATTGAGTTCAATTCCCAGCACGCGGAGCGAAACGTTGGACACCGTGCTGAATAACGCGCAGGGGGGACAGCCTGGAAACACATCGGATAGCTATACATGCAGTAGCATTCATGAATTAGTCACCAGTTCATTCAATTTCAAGTGACTGAAAACGACTGTTTTATAATTAATCACTTGGTTTACATTGCAGCTTACTTCCCCCCCACCCTTTGGCGGGCGCCTCGCGAGAGTGAAGATATCCGCTTACCGGCTCCAACGACGCCTTCGATTTTGATGTACGAGACGTCGATTTCTCTCGCGAACTCGTGGACAGCTTCACATGGGTCTTCATACGTAAAAGGGTCTATGTACATCTTCAGACCGGGCAATTTCACTGCAAAGACAAGCAAAGCCACACATGCCTCAAAGCCAGAAGTGTAATTACAGCATCAAGCGCAGTACTTCGCGCAAACTTAAAACTAGGAACTGAATTGCGCCCCCTCAGCTGGCTCTTCCCGTGAAGGAGAATAAGCTATCACGCAAACTCCGATTAAGCATGGTTGGCAATATACGGTGTGAAAGCAGTTCAACATACATACATACAAACTCCGGTCATCCTCGCAGCAGCTTTTGGCTAATAATCAAACAGAGACGGTCACTGCATCGCGCGTTTTCAGATGCGCCTCTGCAGCCGACTGGAACACTCTTTCCTTCCGATATTAAGAAGCCACTGGACCAATGCACTTTTAAATCCAAATTTAAAAGTCAATTCTTCAGAACTGCTTTTTGTGTTTCATTTGGTGTCCTTACCCCGTTCCTACGTTCAGCACAGTTGGTTATGTACGGTGCGAAAGAAGTTCAACATGCAAAGATCCATTCCCATACGTCAGTTACAGAACCTTCCACTCCGTCTGATCGCAAAATATTGTCTGCTCTCTCACTCTCCACATCCTTATTGACAGGAGTTTACTGCTACTCCTCTGCTGTCCCTACTGCTGGAAAGCAAGCGTTTTTGCCTTCCATTCACATTTCTGAAGTTAAACTGTTACAATTTGTGGAGATTGATATTAAAAAGCTCCACGATTAACTAATTCTATCCGTGTTTATATATATATATCTGTCTCCCACACGTTTATACAGCATTTGTATAAATGGAGCATAAGAATATGTTGATGATTATGTTGTGCAAATAAGCAATTTGCACAAAGCGGGGCAATTGAAACGCAATCTTCATGTAGTCGGTAATTCAACAAAGTACAGTCCTGCCTTTCATTAAAACATATCTAAGCGTGGGAGTGGTAGCACAGTAGTTGCGGCATGCGATATAAACCCGGTGATGTCTGAGTTTCGATGGCCAGCCATGACCAACGTCAGTTGCGAGTGATTTGTGAACTACCCTCTGCACAAAACCGCATTGACCAGTGTGGTGAAGTATGGTTAAACAACCCCCATAACAGGCACGGCATTGAGAGGCCTTTATCCAGTCGTGGATTGGCAAAGGGCTGGAAATTATTACAAGAAATATACTTATATTATCTCATCCTTAAAAGGTTTTGACTCAAAACACGTGTTAAAACATCGCTATAGACTCTAGATTTGAAGCTTTCGTGACTGCAAGGATCCATACTCTTTGGTTATATTCGGTAAAGTCACGTAGGTAAAAAATAAAACAACAAAAATCACGACGTTTCGGTCACAACACAAGTGGCCTTCTTCAGGTGAAAGAACAGAAGGAACAGAACTGTCGGGACGACTTCATTGAAGTGCTGTCATCCCGACAGTTCTGTTCCTTCACCTGAAGAAGGCCACTTGTGTTGTGGCCGAAACGTCGTGGTTTTTTGTTGTTTTATTTTTTACCTACGTGACTTTACCGAATAGAACCAAAGAGTATCGCTATAGACATCTATAAACAGGTCTTAATGTCTTACTTCATATTTCCTGAACACTGCTAGGATGGCTTGAAGGAGGGCTTGTTAGCATAAGGCACTACCACGAGAGTACAAGGTATTCATATATTAACATATATTATTCTACCCTAAAATTATTATAATGCTATGAAAATCGAAATATAAAATAAGGAAAATTGTATGTTGGCCTGCCAAAAATAATAATAAAGGTTATTGGGTTAGATTGCGTGAATATAAATGTGTTGTAAACCTACCCTCCACCTGACACAACCAATTCGTAACGTTTGTCACGTGAACAAAACGTGCCAATTAGTTACCACTTCAGCACACCACTGCATTATTACGAACAATATTGGTCGCGAAAGCCTACGCATTCAATTTCCCCAGAACAGTGTTCCGTATTATCCTGCCTGAGATGAAGCACTCTCTATAATTGAGCACATCTTAGATTGTGTTGGCATATTCATTAAGAGATTGCGTGCAAGAGACTTCCACCGACAGAACATCAAAGGTGCTTGAAGTATGCAGCGCAGCAAAACTGGGATTGCTAACCTATCTGGACAGATATTCTTGGTTCTTTCGGTAAAGTCACGTAGAAGGGAAACAATAAAATTTATAAAAATATAAATAAAACAAATTTCTCACGACGTTTCGACTGCAACACAAGCAATCATCATCAGGTGGGAAAAAAACCACAGCAAGAAAATTTGATGATGATTGCTTGTGTTGCAGTCGAAACGTCGTGAGAATTTTATTGTTTTATATTTTTATTATTTTATTGTTTCCCTTCTACGTGACTTTACCGAAAGAACCAAGAATCAGTCACGAAAGCTTTAAATAAAAAATATCTGGACAGAGTTTGAGCGCTGGTCACTCCCACCCACCCCCTCGTTGTGAGCACGTGAGTGTGTGTGTGGGATCTGTTCGAGCACTCCAGTTGCCACCCACACGTAAACATGCTCAAAACGAAAATTGGGCTGACATTTCAAGCTCACGCCGCCGCAAAAGTGTTGTGAGAATGAATGAAAGCTGTCTTGAAGACATAAAATAAATAGCACGTACACCACCGGCATGGTTATTGAATAAAAAAAAACGTAGGCTGCTTACTTTTACACATTTGGTTGTCTGGAGGCCCACCGTTAAGCGATTAGTCGTTAACAGGAGTGCTCGTTAATAGGGGTTCTACTATACACTACATTATACACTACACTACTATACACTACATTATACACTACACTATACACTAAACTATACACTACACATTGGGTTCTATGGAGGCCCGTCGTTAAGAGATTAGTCGTTCACAGGGGTGCTTGTTAAGAGGGGTTCTACTATACACTACATTATACACTACACTATACACTACACTATACACTATAGACTACACTATACACTACACATTGGGTTATCTGGAGCCCCGTCGTTAAGAGATTCGTCGTTAACAGGGGTGGTCGTTAATGAGGGTTCTACTATACACTACATTATACACTACTATACACTACATTATACACTACACTATACACTACACTATACACTATAGACTACACTATACACTACACATTGGGTTCTATGGAGGCCCCGTCGCTAAGAGATTAGTCGTTAACAGGGGCGCTCGTTAAGAGGGGTTCTACTGTGTTGTAAATGACACAAGGGAGAGTTTAACATATTGGTCAAAAGTAAAACGTAACTGAGAATATCTGCTGCTGCTGCTGCAACGTGTTAAAGAGACTTGGCGAACGTGACTGCACGCAAGAGGCTATGCTTACCATGGCTACCTTGGAAATGTTGCTTATCCTCATCGCAGTTTTGCTTCGCTTTGCTGTAACCACAGTACCTGGGAAGAGAGAAACCGGTTGCACGTTGAATGTTTGACGGGAAGAAAGTTCGTACAGAGTAAATCAAAGTACATATATACACACACACACACAAACATATATAACACATACGTTCTATACGATTATGTTACATGAAGTGTTTGTGATAGAGAAACATCTGTGAAGTGCTACAAAGGGTGTATATATATAAAATGCAGTAAGAGCTAACTGAATCAATGCTGAGGCTTCAAATTTTTCAAAAAGCAGCGTGAAAATGGTACAATCTGCGAAAGTTTGCTTGTTAAAATGTGAACCCGCCACCATATCACACGTTGCTCGCTTTGATATTGTAGGTGGGTTTAAAAAAAAAACACAATCTAACACAGGAAAAGCAAGTAAAAACAATCTTACATTGTACATCCTCTTGCTAACGTTCTTAATCAGTAACCGTATCCGAGTACTTTATTGGAATTTCAAGAGTCGTCATTGGGATTGTTATTGTCAGATTACTATTTCGCTTAGACTGTATCTATGTGTGTGAGTGCGGTTTATTTTTTATGTACAGCGCTTTAAAATACTTCAATATGGAAGGAGCTTTATAGAAAAAAGAGGTTAATATTGTTCTAAGTATTGCTAGTACTGTGCAATACCACGTATGGACAATGAATGAAAAAAATGTATTGTCAAGACCAATATTATTCGGCAGCATTAGATTTAACGAGCAAACACTGACCCACCTATTGAAGACCTCCCCAAGCTATATGTGCCATGGGGGGTTATTTGACTATACTTCACCATGCTGGTTGGTGTGGGTTGATGAATGGGCATGGGCTTTACACTGATGTTAGCCATGTATAATCAAACTCATGTCCACGGGGGGGGGGGGGGGTTCAGAGCGCAAAGCGTTAAACAATGTACCACTACTTCGTCTAAAAAGAAGATATTTGCTCGACTAGAAACGAAATCTTACATTATAACGGTCACTGGGAAAGTGTCGCACCATGTCACATACAAGATAAAGCTGTCCTGTTTAACTGACAACACCACGAGGAGGACAAAATGAAGATGTGCTATTGGGTCAAATTGAGGTCACGTGATTTATGATGCATGTAACTGAGATATAGTTGGCAAATTTTGGTCGAAAATTAAAAAGACAATACTCATGATAATGCTGTCAAGGTCAAATCAAGGTCATGAAACCTTTGATGAATATTAGACAAAAAATATGTCTAAGAAGTTATATGTACAGAGTTTGAACAGTGGATCATTGATGGTCTATAACATACAACCAAAGAATGTATGTAGACTTACAGAATATTGGAACAAGTGCTATTGTTAGGGAGCATCTGTCTCGGCTAATATAGAATGTATACCAACAAAGCCACGCACACATACATTAGAATATAAAATATCTGCAATAGAAGTGAAAAAGCTAATTTTCTAACCGTGTTCTTGTAATGCCATCATTAGTCTTGCAGGAGCACAAACATTTCCACATGCGCGCACACACACACTTATGCATCGCACGTGAATTAATTTTTGTATGCACAGGACAGGCTTGTGTCCACACACAACAGCGCAGGCACACACGTACTCATCCACTCGTTCACAAGACAAGGCAAAGATCCCCCGTATAGCCTTAACATACTGTTAGATCAAGTGCTGTTAGCGAGCACCTATGAAGGCCTGAACGGTACACGAAAAGGTGGGTGGCCAACACCACGCCTGGCCGCCTTTGTCTCCCCAGTGGTGATGTTTACACACCGCATCAGGTACTCATTTGACCTATGGCGAGGCCCATGACCGGTGTCAGATAATCGTCACTGGCGTTGACCGTGAGCGGGAATTGAACTCGGTTCCGCCGAGTCCATAGCGCAGCATAGCGCTAACCGCTACGACACCACCGCTCCCCAATACATAGACGTATGAACACTTACATGCACACACTCATCAGTCACGGAGACAAAGGTCCCCAGTTACACATCCAGACTGTTTGGGCCAATGCTATTTGTGAGTGAGTACATACTAAGAAGGCTGTGTTGTAGGTTTAATACAGCCAGCACCACTGGTGGTGGGTCACTTTTGTCTACCCGGGGGGTGGGCTGGCCGATATTGATAACCGCACACAAGTTACTCGTTTTATACTCGGCTCTAAAAAAAACAACCCAACAAACCCCAGATTCAATCATTATCCAATCATCTTCTGCAGGACCAGGGGCTGAACCTGAGTGGTTGGGAAAGTAGTGCAGCGTGCAAATCACCACGAAACCTTTCTCGATAAAAAAAATACCTTAACAGACTGTTCTCGGAAAGTGCTGCTAGTGAGTAGCACCTATGAAGGCTCGCATGGCACACGAGGAGGTGGGTGGCCAACAGCACGCCTGGCCGCCTTTGTCTCCCCACTGCTGATGTTTACAAAGTGCACCAAATGCTAATTTTAAGGCTGAGTCTACCGAGGTGAGGCCCAGACAAGTGCAATCGTGCAAGCACACATGGGTAGATAGAGGTACACACAGATACTGTACTGTATAGTAAAGCTCTGCTGATCAGTGCTCCTATTATCCACTCTTCCTATTATTCATGTCGTGCCCAACCTCCCCCACTCCCTGCATCGATCCACCCCCTTTCCTATTATCCACACATCTATTCATCCTCTTACATAGATTCCGGGAGTAACTTTAAAGTCACAGAAAATTAATCCGATTATCTGCACTTATCAATTGGACTTGATCTGGTCTGAAATGACTTGGAAGCCGTCTCTAGGATGTACGGCATGCCTATTATTATCCGTGCTCAACTTACAGATAAGAGGAGTCATCTAGCAGTAGTGGCAAAATTCATCCCATTATCTGTGTGCATCAACGATTCTTACTACATATTCGGGTGAACTGCACAGATAAATAGCAAAACATTATCTGCCCATGTACAAAAATAGAATGTCCGACTCCAAAATATGAATCTATTTAAAAGGAACAGTTGCCACCTGTCCGAGTCTTCCCAGAATCGTCATCTTGTTGAAGTAGCTTTTCTTGGAAATCTGTACATGTTTTCCGGAACATTAAATGTCTGATGTTTGTCATTTGAACAATAATACAACACCCAAGACTATTTTACATACAGATCTCCCCTCTTTTCTGTATTGTGAGATATTCTTCTTTGATGACAAGTCTTGGTTTTTGTACCATTGAGATTTTTTTTTTTCGTACGGCTGTTGTAGACACAGAGCAACGGGCTACAATTTCTCATTCAGGTGGTCGAGCGAGATTACCGCGTCGGTAGCAGCGGAGTGCGTCGCTCTGATGTCTCCTTCGTAATTGTGGATCGGGGCATTACGTCGTTATGTGTTCTGTGGTCTGCTCCAGATGACCACAGTCGCACACTGCTGGAGGGTTTTTAATGTTTCATTTGTGCATCACGTATCCGCATTTACTGCCATGGTTTGTGTGGATGTGGTTTAGGGTGGAAGATCAAAACCCAGGGATCTTCTGCGTTGGGTCTTTCACGAGGTGTTTGTTTGTGAGTTCGTTTGAACCTCATTCTGCTAACAATGCTAATGCTAATGAAAGGAGTGTTACTGTGTGTACACAAATGTGCATGCACACATTGATGTGGCCTAGTTTGTATGCATTTAAACACACAAAGACAACCACACACACGGTACACACCAATCAAAATAGACAAGCCCATGCACAGGTCAACCATTGCATCTGCCTGCCAAGTGGGATAAAAAAAGAACACAAAACAAAAGTGTCTGATTAATATACTCATTCGCATTGACAAAAGCTTTGGCATTACGTGGCAGCTCACTGATTAAGTGCAAAGATGGCCAGAGATCAATTAGCTCGAGCATGAAACCCGTGTTTATCCACACACATGCTGTGGTCAGTAAAAACACAAGAAAAATCACCATTGATGGTGCATTTGCATACAGCGACAAATTGGATAATGTAATCTTAAATATCCATGTTTCTGAATATATTATACTCGTGTAAATATTTGAATTTTGCTCCAATTTCACCCAGATTCTGCTAACAGGGTCATTTCATTAGACAAAGTGTTCATTCCAATATTCATATCTCTTTGCAGGGCATTGAAACCCTTCCTAATAGGGAACAGCTCATGGAAGCAGATATCATAGGGCTACCGTTGAAATTACTTTCAAAGACCTGTGGGCTACACAGCAGGGGTTAGCACTTTCTCACTCACTCTACCACTGAGAGTAATGACTGTTGCCACGACATTCAAATTTCACTTTTATTAATCCTCGCACCTGGAATTTATCAAAATTAAGTACATGGTTTCAATAGGATTTTTTTTTTCAAATGGTCAATGCTGAAACTATAAACTCTCTATAATTGAGAGCCCGGTTTAATTAAATGCGGCTGAAACCATCATTCGAACTCAGGATTCCAGCTCTGTGCACTTAACCTCTGACCTCTGAGCCACTTCCGAAATATTATAAACGTACAGAGTTGCAGGGACACTGGTTCCTAGGTTATGAATTGAACATTCTCATACTGTGCTGTAGCAAAGATAAATATCCCCCCATATAGCTTGTAACGGACTGCTATGAAGGCCGCCACGGCACACAAGGGGGGTGGATGGCCAAACCATGCCCGGCCACCTTTGTCTTCCCAGTGGTGATGTTTAGACACTGCACTGGGTACTTATTTGAGGCTGAGTCGACCTAGGGGGGAGGCCCAGGACTGATTCAGATAATCGTCACAGGTGTTGACCGTGAGCAGGAATTTAAAGCAGGTCACCGGGTTCGCTTCCGCTCCCCCGTGCATGTACACATACGCAAATGTACGCGCGCGTCAGTGTGCAATGTTTTTTTTTTACTAATAGCTAAAAAAAAACATATACCAAAATGTGTTGCGCAGGCAAATATGGTCTCGGCTGCGAATCCAACTGCTTACACGCAAAGCTACCTGCTGTTGAACACATTGTGCATCTTATTATTATTCTGCTGCTGCTAATTGTGGCCAAGGAAAATCTTGGACGTAACCGTAAATGAGCG